GGCACAGCCAGGCTAGTGGGCCTGACTCTCCACATATGCTGCCAGAGAGGACAACTCTACTCTTAGGAAATGTTAGGATGGACAATGCTCATGTTGGTCTCTTCTTCACCTATTCTCTGCTTTTACTACTGACCAATCCTCCTGCAGATAGACATTATTTCTCTTTAGCAGTTAATGCATCTCATCAGGTTTTACTCCAGTCTGATAGACCAGGAAGCCATTTGGTCCTTACACATCACGGATCTGCTCCATGATGTGTTGACCTTGGTATTTCTCTCTGGGGGAGCCACCTTTTAAAAAATTGCTTACCACATTTTTAAGTTCTCAGGGAATGACTTACTATTGGCCCTCCCCCACACAAAATGGTACCAATTTCACAAAAGGACTAGGAGCAGGAGGGCTGGAGTTCTCAAGGAAAGCTTCATGAGAACAGATGAACTTGAGCTGGCTTTTGAGAGATTCACAGGATTTCCCCAGGCAGAGCAAAATAAGGGAATTTTAGATGGGCAAAGGCACACAAAAAAGTGGGAATGGGCCTGGTGTGGCTAGGTTATGGTGAGGGGTGGCTTTGTTTGGAATGGAGGGCTGCCATGACTGTTGAAAAGGTAAATAAAATATATTATGTTGGATTTATGGGGTAGAGTCAAGATTGTCAGCTTATTAAATCATTCTTTAATGTCAGCAATCTGCCTGTAGGGAAAGTACACCATTATGTAATTGAACAAAAGGGACACAGACAAGCTCTAGGAACAGGTGACTCTAACATGTCATGCTTTAGAGAAGCCTGATGCAGGATTTAGGTTGCAGTGTTTTAACTGAACCTACTAACACCATGCCTTACACACTGGAGAAGAAAGCTGCTAAGTATACCTTAAGAATTGACAAGATCACACTTTTATCATTATGCCATGTCCCATCTGCTAGGGTGACATAGCTCCACGAGGGTGGTGATTCTACATCTCTTCTCATTTCAGCCAACAAGGAAATAAGTCAATGGTAGAAAGAGAGTAATGAGTGCATCACTCGACATCGTTCATTTCGAGAAGAAGAAATTTTGCTATCATGTCAATTCTGACCTATCAAACTTAAGTTTCAAAATAGTCTAGTGACTTATCTTGATTTCAATTCCAGAGAGATCTCTGGGAATGGGATTCATTTTAAAATCCATGGAATATAAATTTGTAATAAAAGAACAAATCATATCTCAGTGCTCATGAATAAAGAGGAGTATCTAGTAGGAGTAGGTGGGACAGCGGCTTTGATTTTCAGGTTGTGGGTTCTGAACCTCCTCTAAAAACAGAAAATATATTGGAAATCTGAATTAACTGTTGTCTTACCGCAATGAGACAGAAAACTACAAAATAAAAAGCTACTACTGCAATCACAGGTGATGCTATGATGACTTTGTTGTAGTTCTTATATCCTGGCACTTCATTTCTGAACTGGAAAAAAAAAAGAACATTAAAAAAACCCCACCAAAACACCAAAGAGACAGATGGGATAAAAAAATAACAATTAGCTAGCCTATTCTAGAGAATAGCTAACTATTTATAACTATTATTCTAAAATCCCACTCTTCCAGGTAAATAGCTAACGTATAGGTTCTTCAAGAACATACCAAATCTAATGTGTTATGTAATCTTAGAATCAGCATTTTCTTGTACAATTTACTTATTTTGGGTGTTAGGTCCTCTTCTCCTCTACCCTAGAACAGGGGTACAATTCCTAAATGAGCAAAATGAGAGATCACTATTTTTGCCAAAGTCACATGGTCAAGACAAAATTCAGACGAGGTGCCCCTAGTCTTCTTGCCTGAGTACTTTTATGGCATGTCCTAAACTGACTAAAAGCCCGGTTCCGTGTTTCAGGAGCTGTCCTCACCTCATTTGATTCCTCCTCTTCCTGTTCCCCCGGGGCTTCCATCCTCTCATTTTTCCATTGTTCTGTATCCAACTCTTCCTTGGAAACCTTTACTTCCTGCTGCTCTTCAAGCAATTTCATCAGGAGGTCTGTTCCAGAAAATAGAGTTTCCTCAATTTATTTTTGAAACTTGAATTGTATAATTCAGGTTTAAGGGAAGGGTTCCCTCTGTTGTTTATCAAATGACTCAGGGGCATATCTGCATTGTGTACACTTGAAAAGGGGAGTTTAATGAATGGTAATAACATTGATTCTGTATCTTCTAGATATTTTTCCAAGAATAAGGCTGCCAGGTCAGTGTGCTCAGTGGTGAGCATTCACCTATGAACCAGGAGGTCACGGTTCGATTCCCAGTTAGGGCACATACCTAGGATGCAGGCTCCATCCCCAGTGAGGAGCATGGAGGAGGCAGCTGATCAATTATTCTCTCTCATCATTGTTGTTTCTATCTCTCTCCCTCTCCCTTCCTCTCGAAATCAATAAAAATTTATTTTCAAGAAAGAAATAAGGCAATATGTAATTCAGTGCACTAATAATATCATTTTTTTTATCATTAAAGTCTAGCTGCTCACTCATGAAGGCTGACAAAGTCTCGCTATTTTTCTTTGGGGCTGTCCTCTCTGACTCAATTGTCAGCTCACTGCTGTTGTACTTTTTCCGGTCTTCTAATATTTTCATGAATGGTCGTTCTGTAAGTACTTGTTCATCTGTCAAAAAAGATACCACATTTGATATTGAAAGACTCATGGGACAGCTATTTGTCAGTCCATAGCCATACATCCCAGTCCATTATATAGGGAATCAGCAAATATTTGAGTGCCATTTAGAGAGGAGAAAAATAAACCCCAACTTAAACCTATGATTTTTGACACAACAAAAGGAGAAAATGCATCTTTTTAAAAAGTGGTTACTTAGAACATACCATAACATTACATATGGTGACTATATTTAGGATTATACCATTGGTTCCCCAAGGGCCAACTGCCGGTTACTGGAGGAAAGCCAGGGCTGGAAGACCCACTCAGTTAGACACTCTGCAGATCTACTGTGAACTCCTCACATTCACGCACCCATCCTGTCCTGCTTCAGATGCAGAGGGAGCCTGAGGCTTCCTCTCTCCACTCTTCAGGATGCTTGTGTTCTTGCTACCATCACAGATGACCACGATTAACACCCATGGCTAACACGTCCTCATCTGGACACACCCTTCTCCACTAACTCACTGATTCTTCACTTGGGCCCTGCCTCCACATATGCCAGCCCCATAACAGACGGCTCTATACAGAAAAAACAGTATGTCTACCCTCGCTCTGTGCTTAAGATTTAGGCAGGCATCTGGGATGTACATTAAGAGACTTGCCAGGTTGTGTACCACTGTGGAATGTTCAATAAATCTATGGAATAAGACTTGGGGTTCTAAAATACATAAGGGAAAAATAACTTTTGTCAGATGCCTACTTTGCTAACATTTCATGTCATTTCTTATATTTTCAGCTGTACTTGGGGAACCATCAAAAGCTTCTGATTGTGTGAAGGTCAAGTGCGTCATTGTGCAGCTGGTACACAAGAATTTTCAGAAGAATTAAAAGTATTGCTGGTGGTGATAAGGGTGAGAGAAGGAGGTAACGTCCTGGGAAAGAGCATGGGCTTGCGGAGAGCCCCAAACTGGGAGCTGGAGACCTGGGCACGAGGTGACAGCTGTCAGCCCTTTCTGGTCTTGTTTTCACTCTCCTTAAAAGGAGATGAAAATGCCTGTTCTGCCCACTGTTGGGGCAGAAGGGAGTAATATCATTGGTCAAAACATTGTTCTGAAAAATAAGCAACACTGACTTTATGTAAGTAGCACAGCAGTATTATTTATGATGTGCCCCAGGTCATGATGGAAACCTGTATTTAAGCTATCTGGGCATGAAAGCACATTTGGGAAGTTATCAAGTAGCTGCCAATAAACCTAACGTGTAGAAAAATACTTAAAAGCACACGACTGTTTGGTGGATAGAACACCTTGTGCTTCAGAGCAAGGTCAGAGTTGCACAGTCTAAAAAGAGCGAGCCCTCCCATGCCTTAGAAGGGCTGGGTAGCAGCTTCTGGTGATGGATCCAAAAACTCTCAGGTTCCAAATAAAACTTACATAAATCAGCATCATTTGTATTCTTTTCATAAACTTGTAAAAACAAAATAAAAATGTATCAATATCTGTGTACACTGCAAAGGGCAATTGAAACCTAATGCATACAAAGCAGTTTACAGACTGTGACACACTAATGAACAAGTTCTCATTTGGAAGTAAAGCACCCAGCAGAGAGCACAACACACACGATGTGGCCATTAATGGTAATACCCTTCCCTTCATCAGACTCTTAGCAAATAGAAGTTCTTAAAATTTTGGAGTTGAACTCTGAGTAAATGAATAGAAATAATGCAGTTACTTCATTTGCTTACAAACTTATTATCATTGATTACAAATAAAAACAAAATAAAAATTAAAAAGTTTATCATGGGCAATTCAGACTCACCACAATGTGTTTTTACCAGACACTCATTGTCACAATGCAGTCTGATTGACTTGGCAACAGCCTCAATACTATTTTTAAAGTGGCAGAGGCAGCAGGCCAAACGGCTAGGTAAGATCCTATAAATGGAAACACAAAGAATTAAATTAGTGACAAAGGAATTACCTGAATAGGTAGAAGAGGTAGGCCAAGGCTACCACAGGGTTGGGCAAAAAAGAATTGTTGGGGCATTATCTCCTGAAGAGTTTTATAGGGATCAGTTGGCCATTTGCTATTCATGAATATTGTAAATAAATAGAAAGGAGGAAAGAAGTGCTCAACAGAAGGGTAAGAATGGCAATGGGTATGGGATGCCTAGAATAAATGTGATAGAGATTATAACTGGGTGACACTGATCTGTAGTTTAATTCAGATGTATCTCCTTCTCCCAACCACAAAGAATAATGTTAATAAAATATAAAGTAATTATTTTAAAGAAGAGCCCATGAGTTCACAATGATACTCAAAAAGAAAAGAGAGAAGCTATTATTTATAGAATAATGCCAGCTAAAAAATGGAGAAAGAATAGTCTTTTCAATGAACGGTGTTGGGACAATTGGATATCTCCATGTAAGAAAAGTGAACTTCAACCCAAACCATATACAGAAATGGACTTAAATTGGTTGAAAGATCTAAATGTAAAACCTTGAACTATAGAACTTCTACAAGAAAACATATAAGAAAATCTTTATAACCTTGAATTGGGCAAGATTTCTTAGATACAATACCAAAAGCAGAATCTATAAAAAACAAAAAAGGGATTAATTGAACATTATCGAAATTAAGAATTTCTGCCCCACAAAGAACACTCTTGGAAGAATGAAGAGACAAGCCACAGAATGGGAGCAAATACTTACCAATTGACATATTTAACATAGGACTTGTTTCCAGAATATGTAAATAACCCAAACTCAATATAAAATAGATAAATGATTCAAAGATATACAGATGGCAAATAAACATATGAAAATATATTTTACATTATTAAATATTAGGGAAATACAAGTTAGACCTACACTGAGATACCACTACACACCTATTAAACTATATAAAATTAAACAGAATGGCCATACCAGATATTGGCAAACATGTGAAGAAAATGAAATTCTCATACAATGGTGGGAATGTAAAATCTACAACCATTTTGGAAAATAGTTTTTTTTTTAACTTAAACATACACCTACCGTTTGTTCCAGTCATTTCACTTCCAGGTATTTATCAGGAGAAATAAAAGTATATTTCCATAAAAAGACTTGCACATAAATATTCATACTAGCTTTATTTGTAATAGTAAAAAATTGGAACAACTCAAATAGCCATCAATACTGATACATCAGTTGAAAAATACTGATATATCTATATATAATAAAATACTTTTCAGCAATAAAAAGAAATGAATTATCTATACACATAACAACATGAATGAATCTTAAAATAATCATCTGAGTAAAGGAAGCCAGTTAGAAAAGAGTAGATACTGTATGATTCCATTTATATAAAATTCTAGAAAATACAAACTAACCTATAGCAACAGAAAGCAGATCGATGCTTGCACAAGAATTGGGGATGGTAAGGAGGAATGGAAGGAAAAATTACGAAGAGACATGATGAAAATTTCTGAGGTTATAGACAGTTTGATTTTGGTGATGGTTTTGTGGTATATGAATATATATTGGTTGAAAGACCTAAATGTAAAACCTATTACTATGAAACTTCTACAAGAAAACATATGAGTGTATATAAACACAATATATATTTATAAACAAAATTATTATGTCAATTATACCTCAAAAAGTTGTTAGAAGTAAATGATGTAGACAACTGGGAAAATTGGAATTTCAACTCTTTATTATGTAATATTATAGTGTAGGAATTGAATTTCTTCAGTGCATTAATAGTATTATAGTTCTACAGAGCAATGATTTTGAATATCCTAGAGGAAGTCATCTAACTGACAAGGGAAGGATTGACTGTGGCAGATGCTGTGGGAGAACTGAGGAATATGAGGTTAGACAATCACCAACAGATACAACAATGTGCAGACGGCGGTCATTTGTAGGCTGGCCTGTCAGATGCAGTTGGAGCACACTGGTAATAGCAGAGCCCTTTCCTATACTAATTTCATGTAACCTTCTCAACTACCCTTAGCATAACAGCAAGTTTCTATTAGCCTGCCATATTGGGAGGGGTAGCACAATTTAAGATGCAATAAGTTCTATAATAAACTGTCACAATAGGGGTCCACAGAAATATTTTTTTAAAACAAAAACCAAACAAACAAAAAAAAAACCTCTGACCCTTACTTTACACCATATAGAAAAATTTCTCAAAATGGATCATAGACCTAAACATAACTAGACAACATCTGGAAGAAAACATAGAAGAAAATCTATGTGATTTTGGATTAGACCAGTGATTCCCAAAGTGGGCACTACCGCCCCCTGGTGGGCGCTGCAGCGATCCAGGGGGGGCGGTGATGGCCACAGGTGCATTTGTTTTTGTTTTTTTTATGTTTAATTAATAAACTTTATTTATTTATTTTTTGAGCAGATTTAGGTTCACAGCAAAAAGGGTGCATTTGTTTTAACTTTTTTTGTATTACCTTTCTATTCTGAGTTCAATAAATAGTTTCATAATTTCAAACTTCAATGTTTCTAATTTACACTTTTCTTTACTATATTTTACGAAAAAGGTAGAAACATTAATACATATATCTTTCTGTTTAATTGCTATTAAAATAAAAAAAATTAATTTCCAGGGGGTGCTGAGTAATATTTTTTCTGGAAAGGGGGCGGTAGGCCAAATAAGTTTGGGAACCACTGGATTAGACAATGGGTTCTTACACAAAAAAATTCTTAGATAAGAACAAAAAAGCACAAACCAAATAAGAAAAACATTGCTGAATTAGAGTTTGATGAATTCAAGTTCCTCAAAATTTAATTTTCCAGGGCAGACGGCATGGCATGCCTGCCCGTGAATCCCTGGCAGAAGTGGCCTCGGAGCTGGGCAGTGCCACACTCCCACCGGGGGCCTTACTCCCAGGGCAGGAAGGCTCCCAGGGCAGGCGACGCAGCGCCTGCCCACGAAACCCCGGTGGGAGTGGCCTTGGAACTGGGCAGTGCCGGGGTTAGGGGTGGGTTCCGAGCCACGTAGCAGCCACTTGGAGCCCACCCCTAACCCTGGTGTGTGGTGTGTGTCCGCTGGGGCTGGGGGCGTGCTCTGAGCTGGTTGTGATGTCCTGGCCTAATTTGCATATCTCTCTCTTATTATATAGGATTCCTACTAGAAAGGCTAATTAAAAAACATCCTATATAATAAAAGGCTAATATGCAAATCAACTGAATGGCGGAATGACGGGTCGCTATGACACACACTGACCACGAGGGGGCAGGCACTCAATGCAGGAGCTGCCTCCTGGTGATCAGTGCGCTCCCACAGGGGGAGTGTTGCTCAGCTAAAAGCCCTGAGCTGGGTTCACAACTGGCGAGCGCAGCGGCAGTGACGGGAGCCTCTCCTGCCTCCATGGCAGCACTAGGGATGTCCAACTGATGGCTTAGGCCTACTGCGAAAGCGCACAGTTTGGGCTGAGGGACCCCCCCCCCCACCCCGTGCATGAATTTCGTGCACTGGGCCTCTAAGAGAAATATATAGGTCAGGTGAAAATGTGAAGCAATTGCAGCTCTCATCTACTGCTGGTGGTAAGGCAAGATGGTACAACCACTTTAGAACACAGTTTAGCAGTTTCTTAACTAATTAAATATGTACTCAGCATATGATGCAGCAACCCCACCGTAGGTATTTTACCCCAAAGTAATGAAAATGTATTTTTACACAAAGACCTGTATGTGAGTGTTTTTATTTTTAATCTTTTAGAATATATATATATATTATTTCAGAGAGGAAGAGGGAGATAGAAACATCAATGATGAGATAGAACCATTGGCCAGCTGCCTGTTGCAAGCCCACAGCCTACGCATGTGCCTTGACTGGGAATTGAACCATGACCCACTGACCCATAAGTTGACTCTCAACCGTTGAGTCACTCACAGCTGGGCCATGTGAGTGTTTTTAGCAGCTTTATTCTTAAAAACCAAAAAACTAGGAACAACTCAAATATCCATTAACTGATGACTGCATAAACAAACTGGTGTATACACACAATTAGAATACTATGCAGCAATAAAAAGTAAAGTGCTACTAATAGATGCAGCAACATGTATACATTTATTTTAAAAAGGGGGTTATGCTACATGAAAGAAGCCAAATACAAAAGGCTACACCAGTGGTTCTCAACCTTCCTAATGCCACAACACTTTAATACAGTTCCTCATGTTGTGGTGACCCCCAACCATAAAATTATTTTTGTTGCTACTTCATTATTGTAATTTTGCTACTGTTATGAATCGTAATGTAAATATGCAGGATGTATTTTCATTGTTACAAATTGAACATAATTAAAGCATAGTGATTAATCATAAAAACAATATGTAATTATATGTATTTTCCGATGGTCTTAGGAGACCCCTATGAAAGGGTCGTTCGACCCCCAAAGGGGTCGCAACCCACAGGTTGAGAACTTCTGGGCTACACTCTACATGATTTCATTTATAAGACATCCTGGAAAAGGCAAAGCTATAATGACAAAAATCAGATTGGTGCTCATCAGGGGCTGGTGGTGGGAGGAAGAATTGACTGCAAAGAAATATGAGGAGCCTTTATGGGATGACAAAAGTGTTCTGTATCTCTAATGTGATGGCGGTACATTGATCAAAACTACACAGTTGCCAAAACTCACTAAACTGTACACTTTAAAAGTGATTTTTAAATTTTTGTTAATCCTCACCCGAGGATATTTTTTCCACTGATTTTTTTTTCCTCTCTGAGAAAGTGGAAGGGAGGGAAGGTGGGGAGAGGGGAGAGGGAGAGAGAGAAACATTGATATGAGAAAAGCACATTGATTGGTTGCCTTCTGCAGGCACCCAACCAGGGCCAGGGATCAAACCTGCAACCCAGGTACATGCTCTGGACTGGATATTAAATCTGAGTCCCTTCAGTGTGGGGGCCAATGCTCTTACCATTAAAAAAACACTGGCCAGGGTTAAAAGAGTGAATTTTATTTAATAAAAATTATACCTCAATAAACCTGACTTACGAAAATAATAAAGCAAACCTAAAACAGTAACTAAGTGAAAATAAGTAAAAGAAAAACCAACGTACAGTTTTTCCAGTGTAAGGGTCATCTTGAGGATGTTATCAACTGTTGTAAATGACACTTGGGTTGCTCCCATGTCTCTGAAGGAGAAGGACCAAACATGCATGATATGAACCCAAAGACAACAACTCTATAGCTACTTCAATTCTGGCTTCTCTGTCAAGCCAACTCAAGAATTTATTTGCCATAGGTGATATTTTCTGAGAGCTCTTCTTGAAGAAATTTAAATTTATTTGCATCATCAAATTAATTACTTTGGTGAACAGTACAATCTGTGTTTATTCTTTTTACCATTATCCTATTTGTCTTTCTCAATTGCAACCACAACTTGATTATTCTTTTTAAAAATATATATGTAATGTACAACTTATTCCTTTTTTCTTTCTGAGATCAATGGTACTTCTACATGCATCTGCATGTTTCATGTCTGAACGTGTTGTTCAACACTGCTCCCTTCCTCTCCTGGCTGTGTTGCTCTTGTACAGTCTTTATCATTTTTCTGTGCTAATAGTCATTTTCAATAACCTAGTTAAAATTTAAATTATGACTTTTTAATCAAAATGCAAAATATTTAATCTTGGATGAAAGTAAGAAAGAGCAGAAATCATCTCATGAGCCACGAAATTGTTGCAATACTTACAAATATTTCAATGCTGGCAAATTAAAAAGATATGGATCTTGAACGGTTGTCAGAGGATTACGATTGAGGATTCTGAAAAATGCAATAGAATTAAAACTGTCTGCATTTTCAGTAAGTGCCATGAAAGCTTATATTCATTTTGTTGGTACAAAACTTGAAGGTTAAAGAAATCATTTTCTGTCTTTACCTTTAGATTACCCTTAAGAATCCCTAAAGCATACTTTTTTGGGGAACTACCCAGGTCTCTAAATGACAAAATGGAGAAGAACATGTAAAAAATAGGGAAAAAGTGAATAGCAAATAAAAAAGTATGCCAAAGAACTTATCAGATTGAAAACTCTATTAATGCCCGGCTGGTGTGATTCAGTGGTTGAGCGTTGACCTATGAAACAGGAGGTAATGGTTCGATTCCCAGGTCAGGGCACAATCCCGGGGTTGCGGGTTTGATCCCCAGTAGGGGGCGTGCAAGAGGCAGCCAGTCAATGATTCTTTCTCATCATTTATGTTTCTATTTCTCCCTCTCCCTTCCTCTCTGAAATCAATAAAAATATATTTTAAAAAAGAGAAAAAAAGAAAACCCTATTAGTGACTATGCTGATAGGAAGCTCCTACTCTACAGAAATTACTATTTCTAGTGTCCTCCATAATTCAAGGTGCTTTTCTTTCATCTCCAGAAAATTTTAAAAATCCAATTTAAACCACCCAGTTAAAGAGAAAAATAGGACTAACTCCTTGGTTTTGGAGCCAAAAAGAGGATAAATCTAAGAGGAACTGGTGAAAGCCATGCTCTTATCACATACTCCCATGTGTATTTTTATATCACAGGCTTTGTTACATTGCATGTAAATCACCTGTTTACTTGTCAATTTCTTGGACTGGTAGTGCCTGACATTTACTAGGTATTTATTTATTTATTATTTTTTAAAATATATTTTATTGATTTTTTACAGAGAGGAAGGGAGAGGGTAGACAGTTAGAAACATCAATGAGAGAGAAACATCGATCAGCTGCCTCCTGCACACACACCCCCAACTGGGATGTGCCTGCAACCAAGGTACATGCCCTTGACTGAAATCAAACCTGGGACCCTTCAATCTGCAGGCCGATGCTCTATCCACTGAGCCAAACAGGCCAGGGCACATATACTAGGTATTTAATAGATGTTTGTTTAATAAATAAATAACACTTTGATTATATATCAATAAAAATGAACAAATTTGTTAATTGACACAAATTTTTATTCCCAATGCTGAAATAAATGTTCTTCTCAATTCTATAAAACATACAAGTAAAACAAGACAAACAAAAAACAAGAAGAAAAGAAAATCTGTCTTTAGGTTAACTACTCTAAAGTCATTAGTATACTTTTGCAGACTATTATAAAGATGATTATTACAGCTAATATCTATTAGGCTACTGGGCATCTGTAATGAACATTTCATATTTAATCCTCACAATAACTTTATTGATATATATTATTACCCCGTTTTACAAATGAGGAATCTGAGGCACAGAGAGGTTATATAAGTTGTCCTAGGTTGTCAAGCTAGTAAAAAGCAGAGCTGGAATTTGAACTCAGTTCTGACCTTAAAACCCATGTTTAAGCCCCATTAAGAAGAGGGGTTTTAAAATAGCTGCTACTTTAACCTTAATTCTGAGATCACTAGATATAGAAATCCCTTTTCAAATTTCATGTACCCATCTGGGACAGCCTCTATGAGAATTACATTCTTTTTCTTTTTATTCCTGTTTCCTAATGATCGGCCATGATTAAATATTTAACTAGCTTAGAGTCATTGAGACTTTAGAAATTTAAAACCATGTTGTAGGCAAATCAGTGAAAACGGTGAAGTAAGTCATCCCTACAAAACAACTGGCAAAAAATGGTCAGAATCAACTTTTTCAAACTGTAAATTTAGGACTCCACCAAGATGGCGGCATAGGTAAACACCGGAGATTGCTGCCGCAAACAACCACTTCAAAAATACAACTAAAAGACGGAACGGACATCACCCAGAACCACAGGAAGGCTGGCTGAGGAGAGGCTCTTCAACTAGAAGGAAAGACAACAGCATTCCCAGGCTCAGAGGAGGCGCAGTGTGGAAAATTTAAAGGTGCGGAGGTGCACGCGCAAAGCGGGCAGGTGGCTGAGGGCGCGGTTGTCGTTTTCAATCAGGAGGGAGTCTCAGACTCTGAGCTCCAGATCCGGGCGAGTCTCTAGGGACTCAGACTCAAACGGGAGAATCGGGATTGTCTAGCATCAGTTGGAACATGAGGGCAGCTTTCTCTCCGAGGTTTGCAGCGGTTGCCGGGGTTCTGAGAAGCAGAGCCTCTGGGAACGGGACTGAGAGCAGCCATAATTGCTCCCTCCGCCCGCCCTGTTGAGCCCGCCCCGCCCAAGCCCTGCGCAGAGCCATTTGCCGGATTGCCTCAGGCAAAGGCTAGATTAGCACCTCCCCAGAGAACAGAAGTTTTCCCACAGCTGATTCTCACAGCCAGTTGGCCTGGTGGTCAAATCCCTCTAGTATTAACTACAACAATCAAGGCTTAACTAGAACAAGACTGTGCACAAAGACCACAAGGGGGTGCACCAAGAAAGCATAAAAAAATGCGGAGACAAAAAAAGATGACAGAAGTGGAGGATATAGAGCTAAAAAACGCAATTTTGAGGGCTTGCAATAAACTTGTGGAAAGCCTCACAAAAACTAATGAGACCCTCGATGCTATGATAAAGAAACAACTAGAAATTAAGCATACACGGACTGAAATAAAGAATATTACACCCAATAGCAGACCAGAGGAGCGCAAGAATCAAGCCAAAGATTTGAAATGCGAAGAAGCAAAAAACACCCAACCGGAAAAGCAAAATGAAAAAAGAATCCGAAAATACGAAGATAGTGTAAGGAGCCTCTGGGACAGCTTCAAGCATACAAACATCAGAATAATAGGGGTGCCAGAAGATGAGAGACAGCAAGATATTGAAAACCTATTTGAAGAAATAATGGCAGAAAACTTCCCCTACTTGGTGAAAGAAATAGATTTACAAGTCCAGGAAGCGCAGAGAACCCCAAACAAAAGGAATCCAAAGAGGACCACACCAACACACATCATCATTAAAATGCCAAGAGCAAAAGACAAAGAGAGAATCTTAAAAGCAGCAAGAGAAAGAGGCTCAATTACCTACAAGGGAATACCCATACGACTGTCAGCTGATTTCTCAACAGAAACTTTGCAGGCCAGAAGGGAATGGCAAGAAATATTCAAAGTGCTGAATACCAAGAACCTACAACCAAGATTACTTTATCCAGCAAAGCTATCATTCAGAATCGAAGGTCAGATAAAGAGCTTCACAGATAAGGAAAAGCTAAAGGAGTTCATCACCACTAAACCAGTATTATACGAAATGCTGAAAGGTATCCTTTAAGAAGAGGAAGAAGAAAAAGGTAAAGATACAAATTGTGAACAACAAACATGCATCTATCAACAAGTGAATCTAAGAATCAAGTGAATAAATAATCTGATGTACAGAATGAACTGGTGATTATAATGAATCAGGGACATAGAAAGGGAATGGACTGACTATTCTTGGCGGGGGAAAGGGAAATGGGAGATGCGGGAAGAGACTGGACAAAAATCGTGCACCTATGGATGAGGACAGTGGGTGGGGAGTGAGGGCGGAGGGTGGGGCGGGAACTGGGAGGAGAGGAGTTATGGGGGGGGGGGGGGAAGAGGAACAAATGTAATCTGAACAATAAAGATTAAAATAATAATAATAATAATAATAATAATAAAAACTGTAAATTTAGCCATCAGGCTTGGAGGAATCCAGGGAACATTTAGTCAAGAGAAATTATTGCTTTCTGTAAGAACAGTGATCTGTGTTGCTTTAACTCATCCTAGAGCTTTGCTCTCCATCCCTGGGGTAACCTTGAAAAACAGCCCACAGCCCCAGTACCACAGAAAGCAGAATGGAATGAACTAAAATAAGCCATCAGTCTGGACCTATGTAGGTGAATGAAGGAGAAGCACTTTAAAGTCAGAAAAAATAAGTAGATTTAACATTTAGGATTATCAACCACTGCTGGTTTTCCATAATATATTTAATTCCTGATTTTATCTGAAAGGAATAGGCTTATGACTACCATTCAAAAAGTGTTACTTTATTAATACACTCAGCATGTCTCTGAGGTGGATTTCAGATCCAAAATGGACTCTTTACCACACTGTTAACGTGTTCATTCAGTGTCTGTCAATAACAGATTTCACTCAATAAACTTACTGAAATATAATTACCTGAAAACCAGGGGTGAATCAAGGTTTTGTGAAGACTGAACCTCATCTGTTTTGGGAAATCCTAATAAAAATATGCAAATTGTGAATATGAAAAGTGACAGGCCCCTCCAACTTGCTAGAACTTGGAAGGGACTTATGCAAGTGAAGAACCCTGAAGCTTAAGCTTCATTCAATTCATGATAAATCCATCTCACACTTATTACAAACTTATTTATTGCAGGGGAAAATATTCTTTCAACTTATAAAACACCAGCAATATATTATATAGATGAAAAAATGACTTGGGAAAAGATGCAATTTAGTTTATATCTCACTATGGCAAATGTTTCCTGAAGCAAGTGAGTTTTGTCCATAAGATTTGGCCCAAAACAAAGGAGCCCAGCCTCCAGCACACACTTAAGGTTTCTGACAACCTTTTGAAAGTACTATGAGTTAGTTTTAGAACTACAGCTCTATTCAAATCACAAGATACGGGTATTAATTTATTTCTAACATCAGCTATCTCTGATTCTTTCATTGACTTTTCTGTCATTTAAGATGAACCCAGAAACTCAAGATAAACAAATTGCTGCCTACTCTGTTACAAACCTTTTTTGACACATCACCCAGTCCCCGTTTTGTCTCCCTCCTATCTTGTTACCCTGCTGTAAAGATGCTGGCAAGGCTCTCGTATGTTTTCCCATCAACATCCACCTTACTCCTTCCAGTATAAAGTTCTTGGGGATAAAGTCCCTGTCCAATTCTTCTTTGTACCCCCAGCAATTAGTACATGCTGACACTGTTTCTGAATTTTTTTCAACTGAGATTCCACAATTTTTGTTTGTTTTTCCCCCCCTGTACTACCTTCATAACTATAGTGAAACTCAGATTCTTATAGGAGACTCTCAGTATTACACAATGCTTAGTAAAGGTGGTGAGTTTTCAACATTGTATTGATGCTACCAAAACCTCTTGGTGTAGGGACGTAATGAGCGTGCTCTCTAATGCATTGACCAAAGGAAAACTGGCTGTCCGTGCTCTTTCCCCAAGTGAGGCATCATCACATTAATGAGAGAAGATGGAGGCCGCTACAGATGGGCATCTGCAGGAACTGCCAATCCAGCTTGGCACATCCTGAACACCCGCATCTAACCCGTAATGAATTGTGTGAAATTAGATTTCTATACCACAAGACAGTAAGACAGTCTTTTCCAAAGACAAGATTGGAACACAATATTCATCTTGAGTCTAAAATCCTTTTCAGGCCACTGAACATACCCACTATGATTTGTTTGTGTCACAGAGAAATCACAGAAGTTTCTAGCTGAAAGGGAATAAAACCCACACTTCTTACTGAGGAGTAGTCAGGTAAGAAATTGGAATGAGGCTACAGCTATGTATTTTCTTTATGAATATTTTTTCACACCACAACTTAAACAGCATATTCTCCCTTACTTCAAAGATTCCCATTGCCACAGACAATTCACTTCAGAGGTATAGAGGTTCTGAAAACTAATGTTCTAATTGGGAAGAGCTGTGCCCTGTGGCAGGTTTTAAGGAATTCTTTCTGCTTTACCACTTAAGAGACTCATGAGGAAGCATCCACATCTTTTGCTCCCTGGAGAACTCTGAGCGAAACTTAATTCTTGCAGTTCTATGTTGCATACATATGAGCAGTTAGGAACTTTGCACATGAGCAGGAATCAAAGTCAAATTCAGAAGTGGAATTTCAAGGACCATTCATATATCGGAGCAGAAGCAATACCGGGATTCCCATGACAGTGATACTTTGAATGTTATGTGCGTGGTACCTTGTATTGCACATGCCAAAGGTTAGTTCTGGAGAAAGCAGAGCATGCCATATATGAGTTAGACAAGTCTCTTGACCTCTTTGTACCTTAGTTTCCTCATTTGAAAAAAAAGAAGGGCTCTTAAGCCATACTTTTCAAAAAGAGTTCAAACTGAGCTTATACCCAGCCAACCAATCACTGTATGATGTTTTTACACATAGCTTTCTCCTGTGTTCATCTTCTATTTCACTTACAACTTGTGTAAAAACTGCATTCCATGTGAGGCTTGAAATGTTCCAAAGTTCACTTTTGTGATTGAATTGCAACCAAGATTTCTACAAAAGAAAGACACAAGCAAAAGAAGAGAGAAAAATAATTCTTTCAGATCATTTAGCTTTTAGCAGTAATTTTAATTTATATATAATAAAACCACAATTATCCCACTGTACACTAAGTAAATCTCACTGTGAGAGATATTTGCTTATGATTTATGCTTTCATGTTTATACATGCCATGCATTATATACAAAACAGTAAGGGCTCAAGAAATAATTAATTGATCTTTCTCTAGAATAGGGATACACAACTTCAACACTATTGACATTTTGGGCTAGATAATTTTTTATTATGGGGGGGCTGACCTGTGCCTTATAGTATGTTGAACAACAACTCTAGCCTCTACCCACTAGATGCCAGTAGCAAATCTACAGTTCTGACAACTAAAACTCTCTTTGGCTATTGCCAACTGCCCTGGTACAAAATCACCCTGGTTGAGAACCACTGCTATAGAATGGTTCATTCTGAATGTGAGAGAATTCTCACACTAATCTGTACTAGAAACAAAAAGGATTTGCTACATAACTTTAGTAGCTTTCTACTAATAAAATTTTAAATAACAAAGAGGTTTACAATTAAATTTTATAAAATTTCTAAACACAATGAAGTTATATTTATAACTTACATATATTGTAAAAAAGGTAGTGATTCAAACGCATTCCTTTCAATAAATTCTATGTTATTGCAGGATAAGTCTCTAGAAAAAGAAAATAATGCCTCAATTAGCTATTAGATATCTAACTAGTAGGAATAACTGGTAGAGGTTAGAATGATATTGAATACGCAGCTTTAGTCTAAACTCTAAACCTTAAGAATTGTAATTTGAACCACCCAGAACCCCTTACACTGCCCTCATCTCTCTTAAGAGTCTCACCTTCATGATCTTCATTAATACAACATAAACTATAGATCTTGATAGATTTTGAAGGAAATCTTTCCTGAGAGCAGAAGAATTGACTAGAGGACCATTTGTGGTCTCATAAAATTTAGATTATGAGCTCAAAGTTTATAACTTTATGTATATTTATAAATGTCTAACATTAAAAGAAATAGTCTCACATCTACACACCTTCCTGGTTTCTTTCTGTTTTTCTAGGCAAATTCAATACCAGAAGAAATAAAAGACATCTTTTCATATAACTTGAAAGGAAGTGACTGCTCTAATTAATACAGAACTTTGAACTAATTCTGAATGATACTTTCTATTATATTAATAGAAATTCATTTCTTATTTTACATTGGTTTAATACCTATGAATTTAATGGCTTCAGTTGTACAGTGGTGGGACAACAGAAAACAACATGGTACTGGATTTTTATTTGAAAACACCATCTCTTGTCTATAACTGACAGTCTTATTTCCATTAATTCCACTTTAGTCCCTCACTTTTCTCCTGGATGGGTATAACTGTCTTTTGACTCGTGTTTCCGTCTATAATCTCCCCCTTGCTAAACCATCCTGCACACAGTCACCAGATTAACACTCCAGAAGTGGTTCTCAAATACCAGCCAGCATCACTTGGGAACTTATTGAAGATGCAAATTCTCAATCCGACTCTGGATTGACTGAATTAGTAACTGGGGGGTACAGCTTGAGTTTTAGCAAGCTCTCCAAATGACTCTGTTGTAGGCTAAAGTTTCTCCTCGAGCAATGGTGTGATAACGTGGTACTTGGCATTCAAAGTACTAGAAGATCTGGCTCTAATCTCCTACTCTCCCTCCTTGCACTCTACAGATACTCAAGGTATTTTTCATGTGTGTTGCCTCTCCCCAGGCTCCTTTTGCAAGCTAATTTCATCCAAGATGTCTGTCTGATGATCCCAAAGCACCTTCAAGGTCCTGTTCAAACAGCTTTGCTCTACTAACATCTTAGCTGATCCATCTTGAAGTCTCTTTTCCCTCTGCTCTGACCAAAACAAACTTATCTCTCATTGTCCATACCCATATCTTCTTTTTAATACAGTTATGTTTGTATCCTACTTCCTCTGAGCATAAACTCCTTTAAAGTATGGACTAGGTCTTGCTCTGCATTGTCTACTGACACATAAACAGGTATAACTCAAATATTTATAGACTAAACAAATAGCTGGGAAGTAGAGGGAGAAAAATGACTTTTAAAAGAAATGTAGTTTTGGCCCTAACTGGTTTGGCTCAGTCAATAGAGTGTCAGCTTGCAGACCAAAGGGTCCTGGGTCAATTCCAGTCAAGGGCATGTACCTTGGTTGCAGGCTTGCCTCTGGCCCGGGCCCTGGTCAGAGCTCATGCAGGAGTCAACCAATCGATGTGTTTCTCTCACATTGATGCTTCTCTCTGTCTTTCCCTCTCTCTTCCACTCTCATAAAAATCAATGGAAAAATATTCTTGGGTGAGGATTACCAAAAACCAAAAACCAAACAAACAAAAAAAGAAATGTAGTTTTATTATTTCATGGCTCCCTCTTGTGTGCCACTGCAGCACATTGTCTTCCATTTAGTACTTGTGCTCTATGGTTTGAGTGAGATCATGAATTACTAGAAGGGTAAGAACCCTGAAGTACCTATCTTTGTGTCTATAGTACTAGTAAAGTGCTTGGAAAATTCTTTTTTAGCTTGCTTATTCATTGGCATTTTTTAGTATTTGGGAATACTTATGCTAGCATGAAATAGTTAGCTTACAAAGTATTTCGCAGTAGAAGTAATGAATGACCTAACTTATTAAGCAGTTATTTACTTCATTTTATTTTCCCCAAACCGTTTATAACATTTGGAAGCGAGATGGCAGAGATACCCAAGACGACCAATACAAAAGTGGATGTCCCTCTGAAGCTTGAAAGGTTTGATAATACAAACAACTATTTTGAGTGTCATGTGAGGCTCTTTATACCTACTTCACTTAAGCATTCTACATTTGCAAAAAGAATCCACTTGCTAAAGAGTATCATTAATTAGCTTAATAAGGATTAATGACATACAAAACTTTAAGTGCCATGGACCAAAAATCATAATTGAGCTTTTATAGCAAACAGCATCTCTTTATTTCTAAGTAAATAGGATTACTAGGCAAGTATTTCTTCCTTGACAAGGAGGCTGGAGAGGTTTTTATATTAAAATTAGTGAAATTAGGGACATTTCTGATATGCTTATTTAGTGTAGTCATCTGTAACAATACCACTTAACCATCATTTTAAACATTTATTTTTAGTATTGGTATAACAATTCCTGCATTGAAATCCTCAACACCAATTTGCTTTCTTGGTAACTTAATATGTTCTTAACAATATTGTTTACATAATTCATCAGCTTAAACATTTAATGTGTAAATGTTAATCTCATTTAGATTATCAAAAAAATCTGGTTAATGGCATTCAAATTAATGTAAATGTTCTATATGTTCTTGTCCTATAGGAGACAATTTGAGGTTAAGTTGAATTCCTCTCATTTTACTAAATCAATATTTTAAAAACTTTTCTGTAAAGGCCAGACAGTAAAGCTTTGCAAGCCCCGGACAGTCTGTCATGCATACAGTATTCTTTTTTTCTTTTCTTTTACAGGCCTTCAAAAGTGTAAAAATCATTCTTAATTTATGTGCTCTAAGAAACACACAAACATAGGCCTGATATAATACATGGCCTCTAAACTAAATATAAATATAAGCAGATGTTATATGAACACTTATATAACAACGTGCATATGGGTGTGTATAATTACTCAGACCTCATTACCACTTTTACTCAATAATTATCTATATCTGTCTATATGATTATAAAATGAAAATATGTAAGAGATATTAAATGCTAGAAATAGGCTGGAGCCCAACACAGACTTACAGAATTTTATTGTTGGGAGAAATTGTAGAGATTATCTTATTTGAACCCCTTATTTATTTTATAGATAATATAACTAAAAAACTCATAAATAAAAACAATTAACTTACAAATACTGGAGGGAAAACAGGCCTTCAAATGAATCCTTATGTAATTCTCTCAAATTATTTCCACTGAGATTTCTGAAAAATGAAAAGGTTATTTCTGGATCAAAATGCAAAATAACTACAACTATTTACTGCACAGAAATATATATGGGGAAACCCGGGTAATGGTGCCCGTGAAAAACCCTAATTTTTATTTAATTGAAGGAAGATCATCTGTTTTATTTTCAAACCTTTCTTCTCACGTCTTTTTTGTGCAAACAATAGGCCATTCTAGAATTGATTCACTTTCCTTCCTCAGCTTTCTGTCTATCCAAAGAACTTATCAATACTTGAAATTATATCTATGTATTTATTATATTTATATATTTTTTTCATATTATACATTTGTAAACCCCTTGAGAACTGGCATAATTTGTCTATGTTGTTCTTGGGCCTGGAATCCTGGCACATCAAACAGTTCCTGGCACATAGCAGATGTTCCATAAATACTTTTTCCATGATTTCAGAAAATGACAAACATCATTTTCAGTCTACTACTTTTATTTAAAACAAATCATTCATTTACCATCACTCATGAGAGTAATTACAACTTTATAGGCAAGGAAATGTCTTTCTTCTCCCCTAAATTTGTGACTCTTAATCTTTGGAGATAAGAGCCCTGTGAGAATTTTCATAAAATCTATGGACCCTTTGCCTAGAAAACTGCACCTTCTTTAATACATGCAAAAGTGTGCATGTAATTTCCATTTGTTGATTATCCCTTTAGGGCAGAGGTCAGTGAATAGGATTGAATTCAGGGGGCCAAACCTGAATGAGGAATAAAATTACATTTCTATTTTCACAAACCTCTACCTAAAATTAGCATTGCCTTGCATTGTGAATTTAGGCAACAAACCATAGATTAGCAGTATGGTAGTTCATTGAGTCTCCAATAAAGATATTTTCATATAATAAATTTTCACATATTTTTTGCAGATATCTCAAAATATCATTTATTAATTCTCATCACTACCTTGAAGTTATAACAGTCATTAGACCAACCACTATAGCTTGTTATTTAATATGTTAAGCGAAGCAGATTTGCCCTGGCTGGTTGCTCAGTGGTTAGAGCATCAGCCCACAGACCAAAGGGCATGTATCTCAGTTGCAGATTCAATCCTTGGGCCCAATGTGAGCAGGTGGCAGTTAATCAATGTGCCTCTCTCATGTGGATTTTTTTTTCTCTCTCTCTCCCCACCCCCCCCCACCTCCCTCCTTTCCACCATCTCAAAAAAAAAACTATAGAAAAATATCTTTGGGTGAGGATTAAATAAAAAAATAAAAAAGAGAAGTGGATTTATTAATAATCTTTTAAAAAATATTTTGAAATCTACATTTCAATAATAGGTTTATTTATTTTCGTATATATTTTAACTAAGAACATAGACTTCTGCAGATCACCAGAGATATATGGGGGAGAAAAGGTTAAGAAATCGTGTACTACCTCTAGCTGGTTTGGCTCAGTGGATAGAACGTCGCACTGCAGACTGAAGGGTTCCAGGTTTGATTCTGGTCAGGGCACATGCCTGGATTACAGGCTCAGCCCCCAGTGTAGGGCATGCAGGAGGTAGCCGATCAGTGATTCTCTCTCATCATTGATGTTTCTATCTCTCTCTCCTTTTCTGAATCAATAAAAATATATTTTAAAAAATGAAATCATGCACTGGGGGTCTATTGACCCTAAGTTAGGAACTTCTCCCTTATAAAGAGTAAGTCTCAAGCTGACTTAGAAATCTTCAAACCTTATGCGAGTCATGTTATTGTGTATGAACTCCCAAACACAAGTTTTTTCAAAATTAATGTTTTAAGTTCAATTTATTAAAAAAAAATATGTAATGTAGGTTCTTATGGCTCAAAATTCCAAAGGAATATGGTACACAATCCAATGTGTTTTCTCCTAGATCGGTGGTTCTCAACCTGTGGGTCGTGACCTCTTTGGCAGTCAAACGACCCTTTCACAGGGGTCGCCTAAGACCATCCTGCATATCAGATATTTACATTACGATTCATAACAGTAGCAACATTACAGTTATGAAGTAGCAACGAAAATAATTTTATGGTTGGGTCACAACATGAGGAACTGTATTTAAAGGGCCAGAAGGTTGAGAACCACTGTGACCTAGATCATCTTTCAGACGACCCCACTCCTTCTACTCCTTAAAGGAAACTAATATCATTTTTTTCTTGTGCCAAATGACTTTCATTCTAATTACCAGATACTATCATGGAAAAAATAAACTATATATAGTTTCAAAAAATTCATATTAAAAACAACAACTGCCTGGTTCTTTTTCCCCCCACCTTACCAATAAGATATCAGACTAAGGAAGGAATCTTTTAGGGTGCTCAAAAACCCTGTTTTTAGATTACTATGACTAATATGTCTTTTGTTATTAATTGAGAAGTTATTTATGACTTCAATTTGAACTAATAATATGACACACAAACTATCTTGGAAATGTCAGTTAATTACTTGAAATGTAAATATTTCTTCCCAAATCACTTAAGTGCCTAACCGGACTTTTCTACACATCAATAAATAAAGATAAACAAAAGAAAAATGGGCAAAAAAGAACAAGACAAATTCAGAGGAGAAATAGAAATGTTCAATAAATATATAAAGATACTTAAATTCGCAAGTAATCAAAAAATTCAAATTTAGACAGGACCGTTTTATTCACCCATTAAATCAGCCAAAAAATAGAGTGGTAGGAGGGTAGAGGGAAATATGCTGTTGTGGCCCACTGACTAGAGCAGCCGTGGGCAAACTACGGCCCGCGGGCTGGATCCGGCCCGTTTGAAATGAATAAAACAAACAAACAAAAAAAGACCGTACCCTTTTATGTAATGATGTTTACTTTGAATTTATATTAGTTCACACAAACACTCCATCCATGCTTTTGTTCCGGCCCTCCGGTCCAGTTTAAGAACCCATTGTGGCCCTTGAGTCAAAAAGTTTGCCCACCCCTGGACTAGAGTATAACTTGGCACAACTTCTTTTAGGCAATTAAATTGTGATATCAATATAGTCTTCACCCCAATAATTCCATTTCTAAATATCTATTCTGCATAATACCTGCCCATGTTCCAAAAAATGCATGTATAAGAATGTTTGTTGCAGCAATACATGTAACAAGAAAATTGGACATAATTTAGACATCAATAGAGGGATTATTAAACTATGGAATGTTATGCAGAAGCTTAAATGAATTGGGTTACCCTCTACGTACCAAGAAGGAAACATGTCTAAGATATATTGTGAGGTGAAAGAATCAAGTGGTAGTATGTTACCATTTATGTTTAAAAAAATGTAAAAATCACACAACATACCTATTTTGCTATCGGTAAATATGTATGTAGGCAAATATGTGGGAAAAGGTCTGTAAGGAAATATAGTAAACATAGAGTAGCAGTTGCCTTAGGGTGGGGATGAGGGCACAAATGGGGTTTTCACTATACCTGCTATTTCATTTTTATATATTGAGAAAACTAGAGGCCTGGTGCACAAAATTCGTGCATGGCAGGGGGGAGGGTCCCTTAGCCTAGTCTGCACCCTCTCCAATCCAGGACCCCTCAGGGGATGTCCAACTGCCTCTCGCAATCCAGGACCACTGGCTCCTAATCGCTTGCCTGCCTGCCTGCCTGCCTGCCTGCCTGATTGTCTCTAACCCCTCTGCCTGCCTGCCTGATCACCCCTAACCACCTCTGCCTGCCTGCCTGATTGCTCCTAACTGCTCCCCTACTGGCCTGATCGCCCCTAACTGCCTCTGCCTTGCCCCACACCTGGGGCCCAGGATTCTCTCCTCTGGCCGGTCACAGGCACCCGGGACCAGGACTTCCCTCCAGCTGGCTGGCTGCAGGGACCCAGGACCAGGGTCAGCTTCGCCCGGGCTGGCCACAGCTGCAGGGGTCCGTGGGCAGGGGGCTTCGCCCAGGCCACAGCCACAGGCGCTGGTGCCCAGGACCCCGGGGCGTGCGGCTTGTCCCTCTCCTGGGCTGTAGCCTAGCTGGTCCCATTCCTCTCTCCCCACTGTTGAGTGTCTGAGCCATTGTTGCATGACGGTGTGACAACCATTTGAATATTAGCTCTTTATTTTATGGGATAATCATGTACTACTTGTTATCATGGAAAATAAGTTTAAATTGACTCTGATTTTAAAGAGGGCCTACCACATTTAATTTTTAAAATAAACAGAATTGCAATCAATAGACGTTGATTTGGGATATGGAGGGGGAAATACCTTTCCTCAGACCTATTGACCTCAAAATTCTGGACCAAGAAGGATCGTACAATGCAGTTAGTTTTTTAAATTCATTTTTGGAGAGAATATACTCACAGTTTCTCAACCAAATGGTATGACTTCCACGTATCTTTACCAACGTAAGAAATAGCATTTCCTTGCAAGTTTCTGTGAAGAAATACAGTTAATATGAATAGCTAAGAAATGAATGAACAGAATAAATAAAACAATCATGGCAACCTTATGGGGAATATTCAAATGTAGAAAACACCAGCTTTCTAATTTCCACCGCTCTCAGCTTCCCAGTTTGCACAATTAATAAAGACATAATGTGGGGCCACTGGCACACTGAGGCATCTCCTCAGAACCTGAACTGTTTTTCTTGGATAGGTAATGCCAGTTAATTACTTTGAATACATTTTCTTTTCCAAAATCACTTGTGTCTAAAATGACTCCTACAAGTCAATGAGAAAATAATAATTCAACAGGAAAATGGCAAAAAATTATCATTTTAAGAAAATAAATGTAAAGAAACCTTATGCCAGGCCACAGGAAAGCATTGGCCTAGTGCTCTCTTTGGAAATCTCTCCAGGTGTTGGAAGGATAAGGGCAATTAGAAATGAGAGGACTAGTATGGACATAGACATATTTGACAGGGAAAAGCACAAATCACTGAACAAGGAGTAAAGTATTACCTCCGTAGAGGGAAAATACAAAAAGAAAAGAGAGAGAGAGATTGGAAGGATAGACACAAACCAAAATAGTAACAGGAGTGGTAGAAAGGGTTGCGTGGGATTTTCACATTATATCTTTTAATACTTCTGTGACACTTAAAAACAAAACAGTAAGAATGTGTCCGTGAATTGCAAGTGTTTTTTTTTTTTTTTAAAAAAAGCTGTTAAATTCCTGAGGTTCAGTTTCAAACACTAACTCTGTGGATGACTTTGCATCTTTACCTTTAGCTTTTCCTCGTCCCTCAGCAACAACTTACCTATTCAGTTTACAGACACATTTTTCAGGAAGTCTGCCTGCCCCTCTGCCCAGTGGACATCTCCTCTCAAGCAGAAGCCTTCTTGCTGCTTTATGCTCACCAATGAAAGAAGCCCAAACTGAGCTCACCTCCTCAAACTGGCTCTCTTTCACAACTGCTGTATGCCCACCTGTCATACCACCATCATTCTCCTCATCAACCAGGACAGAAATTTTCCAGGGTCATATTTGATCTTTCTCTTTCCTGTACATCCCATCCACACTCCAGTCAGTTACTAAAGCTTGTCAGTTCTTCCTTTATAGTGTTCCGAGGATTTTCTTTCTACTCCTATCACAACACTCTGATTCAGCGTCTTCTCACTGGACTCCTAGAGTATTCTACTTGGTCTCCCTCTGAGTCAAGATTTCCTCTCTGGATCACTCTACCTATGGAATCTAAAATAATCCTTTTTGGTATTTTTTTTAAGAGAGAAGAAGGAAGAGGGATAGAGAGATAGGAACACCAGTGAGAGAGAAACATCATGGATCGGCTGACTCCTGCATGTCCCCCACCAGGGATCAAGATAGGCCCTGACTAGGAATCGAACCAGTGACCTCTTGGTTCCTGGGTTGATGCTCAACCATTGAACAACACAGGCTGGACAATCCTCTTATTTTACTCATTTGTCTCTCTTACTTGAAAATTTTCAGTGGGTCTCCTTATCTCAGTGTAACTTCCAGACCTCTAGAGCTGATAGTCAAGAGTTTTCTTAATCATATTTTTCACTGCTTCCTAAACCAATTCTTTATAACCAGACTGGTCTATTAAGTCCTGATCACTCCTGCAGCCATGCCTCTGTCTAGACCAGTGGTTCTCAACATGTGGGTCGCGACCCCTTTGGCGGTCGAACAACCCTTTCACAGGGGTCGCCTAAGACCATCCTGCATATCAGCTATATTACGATTCATAACAGTAGCAACATTACAGTTATGAAGTAGCACCGAAAATAATTTTATGGTTGGGTCACAACATGGGGAACTGTATTTATAAGGGTCAGAAGGTTGAGAACCACTGGTCTAGACTGTACTCACTAATTTTTCTCTATTTACCAAACTATAGCCACCCTTTAAATCCCAGCTAAAGTTCTAGCTTATCCATGCAGCTTTCCCTAACTTCCACACCCCAGCAACTGCAGATTCTGCTGAATTACAGCACATCTAGCCTTTATTTCTTTTAGAACTTAATATATATTTCACTTCCTTTTTTATGCACATTGCCTTTCTTCCCACCTACCACTGTCATATTCCATAGACAATGTCATACTTCTGTGGCCCCCACAGTACTTAGACCTAGGTTGGACACAAAATGGGTGATTTATATTGAAAGCCAGGGGGCAAAGATGAGTTCTGGATATGACTGAGGGATCAATAATAATAGCTAACACATACATATGTTAGGCACTTATACAAATACTTTACATATATTAACTCATTCAAAACTCAAAATAATACTAAAGATGGTAACTATCCTAATCTTCATTTTAAAGTTGTGGAAATTGAGCCCCAAGACTAATAAATGGCATACCTGGCTCTAGATTCTCCTCTTAACCACTTTATTGTATCACCACCAATAAGATTGGAAGAGGGCCATGTTGCTGTAAAGAGGATGAAGCAAAAGTGGGAGGACAGCAGAGGTTAAGGAATGAAATGATGGGGCTAAAAATATGGATCAGGAATTGACAATTACAAGTAAAAGACTGGTTAAGGGGGAACAATAATATTAAGGACAATAAAGATAAGGAATAGTTGTCAAACGAAGATAAAACCAGAAAGTCCGTCAAAGTGGGTGGGGGGAGATGAGGAAGGCCCAGGAAGACCTCAAGGAAAAGGCTGCCATGTCAGCCAAGATGCAGAGATTAAGTGAAGAAAGGCAATTCTTACAAGATGGTGAAGGTGCCGTTGTATATGCCGGGCTCTGACACAGGCACTTTGTTGAGCTTCTGATTTGTGCCAAAACCAATACACGACAGTGTCCCAATACTGCAGGTACAGAACTCACATATGTTCATGGTGGCACTCTGTTCAGTCATTGGAGGTACCATCTCATATGAGTCTGGTTGCCGAGTTCTGGCAACGTCCATATCAAAAGATAGAGCTGAGACCTCAGACAAGGTTGGCTGCAGAGCCTGAACAGGCTCTGAATATGGAAGTGTCATTTCAGGGTGCTTTGGAGGAGCATCAGTTACCAAAGTTGGTTCTGGGGTGATGGTGAGTCCCAGGTCCAAATGTGGAAAGGTTGGCTGCTGAGAATGAACAGGCTGTGGACGTGGAACTGTCACCTCAGAGTGCTTTGGAGGAGCTGTAGTCTGCTGCAGGACGTCAGCCTGTGAAATAGGTTTAGCTGAGCTCTCCTGCTGGTATGGAGGGTAGATATTTTCAGTTGGCCTGGGAGGGTAAAAAGAGACCTCCTTGTCAGTTGAAGGTGGTTCATTCTTCTTAGGGGTCTTTGGCTTTATCAAAATCCCCAGATCCACATCATCAACACTGATAGACAACACTTCATGCTGAACTTTACCCCAATCTGGAAGTGAAGATATTGCTTCGTGATGTACTGAAGGTTGAGCTTCAACATCCATAGTGGATTTTTGAAGTTGACCTTGACCCTTCAGATGGACTGAAGAAGTTTGTATATTGGCTAGAGACACAGGAGGTAGAGCTGAGCTCTTTGAAGATTGAACATATTCAGGGTAGGGTTGCTGCTTATCTTGATCTCCTTGGTGGTGGGACAAAAATTTCGAAGGCTCTTGGGACACTGTAGACTGAGTTGAGGCTTCTTGTTGGGTTGGAAGCTGAGTTGAAGCCTCCTGAGGTTTCGGAGAAGGTTCCGTTTTCTCAGGGGCCTCTGCAAGTACAGCTGAGGCATCATGGTTGACAGAAAGAAATTCAAGGTTTGCAGGATTTTGCTGATCCCAAGACCAGGGCTCGGTAGGTCCCAGGGGGATGGAGGTCAGCAGGCTAGAGTCCATGGCCACCTCCGGAATCGGAGCTGCCTGGACCTGCAGCCACAACAGCTGCCACAGGAACAGGAACTGTGGGGCCCACATGTGCAGCCCGGACATGACAGGCAGAGGTCCGGGGCACAGTGAGCCACCAAGGCGAATGGGGCAAGGAGAGTGACCCAGAAGACTGGGGCACAACGAGCGATCCAGGAGACTAAGAGCACAGTGAGCGATCCAGGAGACTGGGGCACATACACGCAACCCAGATAAATGGGATGCAAGTACCTGCGCTGAGCAGGAGCCCAACAATTTGCAGCCATGTCACAATTGGCAGCTCTGTCATGCATGTGCTCCTTAGCAACCAAGCACCCCTCCCCCACTTCAAGTTCCAACCTTTATTTAGGCAATCTTTATTATTCTTGGACTGAAGTGACTATAGAAAAGTGAGCCTCTTCCCCAAAATCACCAGGGACCAAGTGGTTCCTTTCACCTGCAGAAAAGATAACTATCTCCCTCTGGGTCTCCCCTCCCCACTCACAGTGAGGCAGGATTTGGACTGCACACTTGGGTGGCCCCAGAGCCCAGGCATGGTGGGATGTGGGGAGGGGGTGTAAAAGAAGGTGGGAGGAGGGGAGTATTGAAGAGCTTTCCAAGGAAGTCACAGGGCCTGGCATCTCAGGAAATTCAGAAGAGCTAGTCCAGTCTGGCAATCTGAGCTCCCCTTCAAAGCTGAAATCTGAGAGAGTCTTACTCCCAATGGCCATACTGCTTCCAGGAAAAGTAGCTGACCTACAAAATACACCAGTTAGAGTGGTGTGGAGTGGGACACACTTTACAGTTCAAAAATGTTGCCATTTCCTCAAAATTCTCAGTATTCATGTCTGATTCTTTGTTTTGTTTTATTTTGTTTTTTTTTGTATTCTTACCCGAGGTTATGTTTATTGATGAGAGAGAGAGAGAGAGAGAGAGAGAGAGAGAGAGAGAGAGAGAAAGGGAGAGAGATACCTTGATGTGAGAGAGAAAGAAACATCAATTGGCTGCTTCCCATACAAGCCCCAATCAGGGATCGACCTGCAATGTCACGCCCTAACCAGGAATTGAATCAGGCTACTACTCCTTGGTGCACTTGGTGCTTGGGACAGTGCTCCAACCAAAAGAGACACCCAGCCAGGGCTCCACGCCTGGGTTTTTATTCACCAC